TTGCATCCGATTTCATCATGTCTTCATTCAGATAAGTAATTTTTAAAAAGAAAGTTATAGTAAATTCAGGAATGAATAGTACAAATTTAAAAATAAAGAATGCTAAGGTAAATTCCCTTTTACTACTTACATTTGTAAGCTTCCAAAGCATATGGTCATTTAGGGGTGTGAAGCATACACATGGCCAGATAATAACGCCCCCCACAAAAAAAAACTTTCCCCAAACAATCCAAAAATAGGTAAGCAAAAAGTAGTGGGGACTCCAGAGACTTATGTAAACTCTGAGAAAAGATGAAGAGAGAAGATTCTTCTATATGACATAACTGTCACATGAAATTACCTTAATAGAGAAAAACCCAATTATGGCAATGCTTAAGATGACAAGCGTACAAACAATCTATCACTCAGATCTTTCTTTCCCCTAAAATTTCTGAACCTTTATCATATACTAACTTATACTGCATTTACTTGTAAATATTTTATGCCTCTTAAATGCAAGAATCAAGTTTTTTTTTTTTTTTTGAGACAGAGTCTTGCTTTTGTTGCCCGGGCTAGAGTGAGTGCCGTGGCGTCAGCCTGGCTCACAGCAACCTCAAACTCCTGGGTTCAAGCGATCCTTCTGCCTCAGCCTCCCGAGTAGCTGGGACTACAGGCATGCGCCACCATGCCCGGCTAATTTTTTCTATATATTTTTAGTTGTCCAATTAATTTCTGTCTAATTTTAGTAGAGACGGAGTCTCGCTCTTGCTCAGGCTGGTTTCGAACTCCTGAGCTCAAACAATCCGCCCTCCTCGGCCTCCCAGAGAGCTAGGATTACAGGTGTGAGCCACCGCGCCCGGCCAAGAATCAAGTTTTTGAATCCCCAGAAAGTTTTGCACATTATAGGCAATTAATCAACTCGGTTCAAATCATCAAAAGTTTGTAATGATGTATTATGCCATTCTCAAAGAATTTTTTGAAAATCTAGGAAAAATGCAGCTATATCACGGTCACTTTGGTAAAAGAAAATGCTTGCCTAGAGAGAGATTAATAATATTCAAGAATCCTCTCTTTTTTAAGAGGTTAGATTCTAGAGGAAAAGGGCTTGTTATATAAAGAGGTTGTTAGTGCCAATATGTGTTCTTGAAAAACCTCCCATTCTGCAACACTGTGCACTAAAAATAACAAGACTTATGGGGGAAAATAGAGTTGGGGCAGACTGCTCAACATTTACGAAACTTTATAACTACGGCACTAACAAAAACATTAACAACCCTGTTTGAAATACTAGCACAATTAAATCTGTACTGGCACGTGCACCTAGAATCCTTTGCAGCCTTAAACCCCTGCTCCTGCTTCTTCCTTCAAGATGTAGGTCCTAGGGGGCATTCATTTCCAATAGAGATCATTTTCATCAAAATTAATCCAAGATTATTAATCCAGTGATTTCCAGTCTATTATTTTAATACAGGGGTAAGTGTTTTTGCAGCTTCTTCGTTTGCACTTGAGCACTGCAGGTATCACTTGCATGCAAGAAAGATACTTCTGTGGATTTTCTGTTTTTTTCCTTACAGTTTACATATTTGGTAAACCTGACTCTAATTGTGAGAAATCTTGACCTTGATTGTTACAAAGCATTTCATGTTCTGGGAAAAATCATGTTGGGACCAATATAACTTCTGGGTTACACCAATATTTCTAAATGCATGTGAAGTAATTATGTCAAAGAAACTCATGTTTAGCAGAACAGACAAGATCGGTAAGTAACCCAGGTATTGGCACATGTGACCTGAATTTATAGTAGGGGCAGTTGTAACAGCAGCAATGATGATAGCTACCAACACTTCTTGAGGCTTATTATGTACCAGGCATGACGTTAAATCCTCTGTATGGATTATCTCTTTATTCTTCACACATGCAAGTAGGTGAAGAAACACTATTTAATAAGATTAAACATTAATCTTCGCTCAAATTTACAAAGTTGATAAGTAGTGAAGCTAGGATTTGAACCTAGATCTTTCTGACTCTATGGCCTCAGTCATTAATAACCACAATGAAATAATATTTTTCATCCCATTAAAGTGTGAAATGATTCTATAATGGTAACTGACAGGGTGACTCAAGGCTCTTTATCCAACTGGTACATATAAATGTTAAAGTTGATATGATATATGGACCTAGAAAACCGCTAAGCATTGTAGACTACTTATTATTTTTCCAGACTTCAGCTTTCTGGCTAGGATATGAGGGAAATCTTTGGACATGGCCAAAGAAGAATTCCAGAAGTGAGACACTTCCTTTTCAGTTCTTTCCAGCTGGGTCATAGGTTTGTCGTGATGACTCAGGCTAGGCAAGGGCCTCGGAATGGACATGCAGGCATACTTCTAAATTCCACACGGGACATCTGACTGGGGCGTGGGGCCGGGGGTGGATTATGACCAGGGAATTCATACTCAACTACAGCCAGGACTTTAGGTGCGGATGCCAACAAAAGAACTTGTGGTGAAATCTTGACTCTTCATTTCAATTTAGATTCAATTTAACTTGCTATGTGCCTGGAATTAACTATGCCAAGTGTTAGGGCTACAGAACTGAATAATCCATCAAGACCTCACAGGCCTGTGGAGCTAACTGCAGGCCTTTCATTGAGCATACTCTGTGCCAGGCACTCTTCTTGGCACTTCATATGTATTACCTCATTTAATTCTCACAACCCTATACTGTACGGACTAATGTTCTCCCTATGTTATAGATGAGGAACCCGAGGTGCAGAGAGCTTAAGAAACTCGCCTAAGGTCACACAGCTGATAATGTATCAATATACCCAGTAGAATATTATTAACAGTAGAGGAGAAAGTGATTAATCCTGCTTGGGGTGGTGGGGAGGACGGTGTTCTGGGAGGAGTGCCAGTTCAGCAAAACCCTCCTAGCAGATGTCGAATGGCTATCAGGGCAGCAGAGGAAACAGCACGGGCAAAGGCACGGAGGTGGGACATGGCCCGGCTTGTATACAGTTTGCTATTGTGAAATATACAGTATACAGGATAAGGTCACAGGAGATGACTACGCAGCAATAGGAAGAGAACAGATAGAAGGAGAATTCAATTCTATGAATTGGCCGTACCAAGGAGTTTGTTTTTATGTGGGAAATATTGAAATAGGTTTTAAAGAGGGGAGAAAGCAAGTAACTCAATTTTCTTTTTTGGATCTAACTGCTGTGTGGAGAATGAAATGATGCAGGCCCAGGCTGAAGGTGGGGAGGGCAAAGTTGGGGAAGAAAGGCAAAACCTAGAAGTAGAGACTATTTAAGACACTATGACAGTAGCCCCAGTGAGAAACCAAGGTGATGGGGATGGGGAAGGAGGGATGAGTAGTGAGATTTTTTTGTAGCCAAGTCAATAGGACTCATTGATTCAGGTGGGGGAAAGGGGACTGGGGGGAGGTTTCTTCATCAGGAGTAAAGATTGATATTATGCCACGGAACCTAAGGAGACCTGACAACTAAATGTAGTGTGGTATTCTGGAACAGAGAAAGGACAGTAGGGGAAAAAATAAAGAAATATGAATAAATGATGGACTTCAGTTAATAATAATGTATCAATACTGGCTCACTAATTGTAACAAATGTACCACACTGATGTAAGATATAATGGGAAACTGTGCGGTGAGGAGACTTTTTGTACTATCTGTGCACTTCTTCTACAGGTCTAAAACTATTCTCAAAAATAAAGTCAGCCAGCATGATGGCTCATGCCTGTCATCCTAGCACTTTGGGAGGCTGAGATGGGCATATCACTTGAGGCCAGGAGTTCAAGACCAGCCTGGGCAACATAGCAAGACCCCATCTCTACAAAAACAAAAAAATTAGCTGGGCATGGTGGTACATGTCTGGTGTCGCAGCTACTCAGGAGGCTGAGGTGGGAGGATTGCTAGAGCACAGGAGTTTGAGGTTGCAGTGAGCTATGATCGTGCCACTGCACTCTAGCCCAGGCCACAGAGCAAGACCCTGTCTCTAAAAAAATAAATAAATAAACAAACAATTATAGTTGGGGACCTTCACACTATTCTCTCAACAATTGACAGAACTAGACAGAAAATCAGCAAGGATATAGAAGAATTCAACACCATCAAACAAGAATATTTAATCAATATCTATATAATACTCCATGCAACAACAGCAGAATACACGTTCTTTTCAAGCACCCACAAATCATATACCATATCTTTGGTCATAACACAAACCTGAACAATTAAATATTGAAAAAAAAAAGAGTAAAGATTGATCCTTATGAAGCTATGTGATTGAAGTCAGCTCTAGACTCTTGCCTGGGAACTTGGACTTAAAAGGGCACCGCATTTTAGATGCATGATTGTGGTTAATAACTAATTCTTGGTATCATTATTTTCACCTTCCTTTGTGTAGTGTCAAAAGCCCCCACTGAAGTAAACAGCAATGCTTTACTTTGCTGACGATTATCGGTTTCATAACGTATCACACACAATCCCCAATCCCAGAGCAACTCTGCCTATTAGCTTGGGATGCCCACTGACAGATAATTACCACCTGGTGTTCCTGCCCCATAGTAATGTTCTTTTATTTCACTTTGCCTTACTCCTTGAAATAACATCCAAAGATAGATAAATTACTCCATTCCTAAAACTGGTCGAGAGGACCAAGAACCAAAAGCCGAGAAAAGGTTACGTTTCCCAGCTTACAACTTTCTCCTCTCCCTTAGGCGGTTGGCACCTGCCTTTCTGCTTCTTCCGGCCATAAGTGGGAAGCTCCTGGCTCTTGGAGCCTAGAGGATGTTCAGGAGTAAAGCCCACTCAGCTACGGGCGTGGCCACAGCTGGGCGGATGACTCGAGCTGGTTCCAGAAAGAAAACAAATGGTCTCAGAAATTTGGTGGTAATGAGGTAACGGTGGGGTGAGGGTGTGTGGAGGGGGCCGATGCCTTTTCCAGGAAGTTGATTAGTGAAACAATTCTGGTGGGAAAAGACTTTAAAAAAAAGTCCACTTACTGATACAAGAAATCAGATCATTAAATCTTTCCTTAGGAAAGAGGGGGTTTTCCAGCCCACGGAAATAGAGCTTTAGAACGCCAGCAACTGAGTTAATGTCATGGTTACTCTGGTCATCAGCCAAAGGATTTTCACCTAAACAAACAAACAAAAAAATTAGTTACATGTATAGTGCTTCTCTTCTTTCCTCTGAGCAAAAATATGTTTCTATACACACACTCATTGCTATATATACATGTATCTTTTAATTATGCTTTATGAAAAATTATATGGTACTAAAATTAAAATAATTGGTTCAGATATCCCACCCCATGATTAACCTAAAAATAGTTGGCTAAAATAAAGCTTTTTTTTTATCTTATGCTACCAAATAATCCCTTACAAGTTACCCAAATCTTAAAATAAGATATTGTGGGATTTATAATTTTACCCAACTTTTTTTTTTACACCGAAATCTGTAATCTTAGTTTGACATGAATTCGAAAATTACATTTTGTGTTTCTTATCCTACTGGGGAAAAGACACACTGTAAGTCTGTCTGGCTATGCTATATGGGTCAGCAAAATTTATCAGAAATTTCATAGGCTCCACCTACTTGTGAACACCCATAATTAAATAAGTAGGTATTTCCCAAAGTGGCATGGTGGTACATTTGAAAAGCTTCTTGAGCAGTGGGAGACTCTGAAATCAGATGGAGGAATTTGAAAATGTACTCTGTGTTACCCAGGAGTTTGTATATAAAGCAGAAATTTTAAAAATATGTCACAAATATAAAATTATATTGTTCTTTTTGGCAGGCAGTTTTAAAATATTAGGTTAATGAGTCTGGCTAGTCCACTTCCCCAAGAATTAAATTGAGATGAAATTCATAAGAAGTTCAATGTAATATGCAGCCTTAAATCAAACTCCATTTTTTATTCACAGGTCTCTTCTTCCCTTCTAAAGTTCACAAAAAGTGTGCAATGCACTTTAACATATTTTTTTGCCTCTTGGGGCAATTTATTTTCATGGACCTATTGTTCCTTTTTCTCTGCTCCTAGGGCAGGAAATCACTGAACATGAATTTACTGGAGTTTTTTTTTTTTGCCCACTGTGAGAAAACCTCACTCAAGCAGATCACAAAAAAATAAATACCAGGGGAATCTCCAAGGAAAAATAATGGCACATTTTGCCTGTGGTGGCTGGCACAGGAACCTGATACTTTACCGCACTGCAGCTTATCACCCTGACTCTGGTCAACTAAGAGACTTGGCACATGTGGCTATGGGTGGCAGGCTGCTCTGCTCTACGATTGTATCCTTCACAGAACTTGGAACAGGAAAATACCATGTGGCCCCAAGTTCACGTCTTCAGCCAAGACTTCACATTTTAAAGGGCTCTATGCCAAGTCTGGGCCAGGGGAAATGGGACAGAGCGAGAGAGAAGGTGGTAGCTCCAAATCCATTCGAGGATCACTCTGCTTTCTCACCTTGACCTCCAAGCAGAGGAAGGAAGGTACAGATGCATCCAGACGTAGATGCAATATAAATCATCACAACTGGAGAGCATTAATAGCTAATAGCTATCATTAAAGAGCCAGGCATTTTCATGGATGATAGCTTAGTCCTCGCAACCCTCCTGCAATTTTGCAGATGAGGAAACCGAGGCCAAACAGGAATTGAGTTACTTTACCCAAATCATACAATTAGTAAATCAGAGTTTGATTTGATTCTAGGTCTGCCTAATGCTAAAGCCTGTGGTTTTGCTAAACATAATGTACTAGTTAACAGTTTAGTAAAATGTATTTGACAGCCAATATGAATAAGAGTAAGGCACCAACCAGGGTGACAGGGAAGGAGGCTGGGGATGGTAATAGCAAGAAGGAAAAGAGCTCCCCCAAGCAGGAGCAGCTGCCTCCCACATTGGCTATCTAGGCCCAGGGCTGCCCTTGCCCCCTTTTAGGACCCCAGCAGGCACCTTTGATACACGTGCCGCAGATTATCAACATCAGTTTCAAACTAGGACACAAAGCTCATATGCTTTTATGTCATTAATAGCAAAGACTTAGATTTTGGCCTCATCTCTCAGTTGCTCTGAATAGATTCTTACCTTAGCATCCACAGTGAAGTAAATGCAAAGAGAAAGGTTTTGAGGATATGCAGAATGAGGGCCACTTCGGTCTACAGGACATGCTGACTTTTTAACATGGTTTGCTTATAGGTATAGACATGCAATTACCTCTCTCAAATGAATTTTTAATGTCATTGACTTCCACCTGGGAACCAGACACTCTGAAAATCCCCTGATGCTGAAGACCTAAAGAGGATAGAAGAGACAGAGGATGAAAAAGCCCATCGCATGCTCCAGGTCCCCTTTGTCCCAGGAACTAAATGTTAAGCAGAAAGATACGTTTACTGAAACACCTCTAGTGATTATTTTTCAATATGAATTCTGTAGTTTATGGCTTACCATAGAGATTGATGAACCGAATACAGCTTTCCACAATGAGGGGGATGACCTGTCCTGAGTCCTGGGTAAAGAGATGGAAACCAGTTAACCTCAAAGGAGGGGTATAAATCCCACATAATAATAAAGCTCACAGTTTACTGGTAATTAAAGACTGATTTTTACCCTTTTAGATGATCATTTCCAAATCTACCCCCTCTAAAATCTTCCATAAGGCAAAAAAAAAAAAAAAAGTGAAAGAATTTATATTTCAACAAAGGTATATTTCAGTTCTGGAGCAAACCAATAAAATACATTTAAGGCAATCTTGTTTCAATTTACTCTGCTGTACCTAGAGATGTCAAATATTAATCCATCTTTTTAACTTATATTTAGGCTCACATGCCAAAATGAATAATTTTTTGAAAGCTTATTTATATAAGTGCTCAATCTTGGATGGACTTAAAAGGCAATCTCTGTATTATAATCACAGCATCTTAGGGTTGATTGGTTGTACTAGTCACCAAAGACAACCTTTCAGCCATCTCACGATCCTCTCTACATCCCTGAGAGTCTACCACCTAGGTGGCCACAGTCTTTATCTATATCTGTCTGTAGAGGCATGATATGAGAATTGTTTCATAGGTAATTAAAACGTGCCATGTATTTAGTTTGCATCAGAACTTACTCATCCTTATAGACTTTTCATTGTTATTTTTTCACGTTTTAAGGAAAAATAACAAGGTTGCACAAACATACATCCCATTAGATCTCGTTTTCTTAGGAAGGAACATTTTCTGGCCTTCCTCCCCTATATCTTGTAAAATAGTCGCTACCCTCTACTGAACAAATGTAAATTCTGGAAATGCTTTCAAACATGTATAGGATGACAAACGAGATGAAGGAGCCACTGAGGTCACAGATACATTTGTATCAATGCCATGCACTCTATGGAGTTAAAGAAGGTTACTGACTATGGAATTATTTTTCATGTACTTTTAAGACTCTGCTCTTTCAGGTATTAGATCTTAAAAAAAAATGGGGTTTCAAAATGGTTAGCTGACACCAGGTATTAATTAATTCATGAGGAATTTTATTCTGAAACACAAGAAGAACTTGGTTGTCTTAATATATTAGAACAATTCAGAACTCACTAACCTTTCCAATTAAGCAGCAGGGGAAGGATTGGGAATATGCAGTTCAGCAATTTAAACTCCTTACTATTCCTAGAATGGGTAATACACTTCTTAAGGAATAGCTTTATTTTAGCTTTTAAGACAATCTAATCAGTGTTTAAACCAGTTAATGGCTCAATTACTTCTGGAGCCTGTATTAGGTGTCTCTAATTAGTTAATTTGTTTTAGGAGCATAAATTTTTATTAATTTCTTAAAGAAGAGTCTTAAGAATAAAAACACATTTTAGTGTGGATGAGTTGGCTCAAGAACAGCCATGTAATTACATCAAAACGTATTGACTATGTGACAGGATTTTTCTTTAAGATACAAGGGTGTTTTAGGGGAAGAAAACTTAATAGGAACAAATCACGTAACACTGTAATCTAAAAGAGCAAAAAAATATTTAGATGTAAGTGATAAGAGAAGAATATTAGTTTACATCTCTGCTGAACTTAGTATTAAAACAAAAAGAAAAACGAAGAATGCAAGGTTATTAAAAGGAAAATGTTTGCACTAAGAGAGTTCTAAATAAAAATGTCTTAGGCTTTCCTATTATTTAAAAAATATTTTTGTCTTTACATTTACTTAGGTAATTGCACATCTTTTAGCTATTATCAGCATTTCATTCAGATAAAGTGAATTTTGTAACCAAAAAGTAACAAGAGTGTGTGTTTTAATTTAATCTCATGGATGCCAGATATTCAGGTAGAAAATATTTTACAAGAAGTGAAACAATGGGCTGCACTCTATCTACCATTCAAACCAATCCCTTTGTGTCTCAGTTTCCCTATGGTAAAAAGAGGGAAAATGGTTTTGCTCTTGCTGTTTCGGTGATACTGGGGTCAAGCACTTTTCACACGTGTAAAGAGAGCCCTCCGTGTTCCTGCTATTACCAAAGATCCTTCACTGTGCCAGCTGGGATGGTGCAGAGCTCATGTAAGTGAATTTTCCATGATAACTGGTTTATTTCTTCTTTAGTACCTCAATTTAGTTTCCTTTAACTGCTCTTAATGAAAAAATTTAAAAAATATGCTATGAGCTTTCCTATCATTTTAAGCAGCCATTCTCGTACTGTATTATTGAATATAACAGAATCTTACATCTGCTTTTTAGAGTTTTTCTAAGTTCTCTTTTTCTGCTGTGCCATCAGCTGCACATCTCAATGATTTCATTTTATCGTTCCTCTCTCTCCATCTAATTTGTCCCTGCTTATAAGCCATGTGCTGGGAAACTACATAATCCAATTTCACAATAATATTATATTAAATTAGAGTCAATAAGGCTCTTCTGGGTTTAAGGCTCAAGGCAATGGATTTGTGATGGCTGTTTAGGTTGTCCGGTGGCTTTTCACTTAATTCCAGGGTTAGGGCTCATTTTTAAGGCTGCCAGAATTTTCTAATCTATCTCTTTATGTATGTATGTATCTGTCCATATACGTGTCACATGCACACACACATACACACACTTATTTTTAAATTATTAGTGCATGTATTCAATAAACATCTGTCTTTAAAGAAAGTAAGGCATCTGTCACATATCATGAGGGGAGGTTATTAATGATGTGGTTTCCCACAAAAATTGAGTCTTCAGAAACACGGCAGCCCATGTCATAAAATGTGAGCTACGAAGAAGTAAGAAAGCCCTTTTCGTTTTTGTATAATTTACACCAGGGTCCATAATCCAGTATGAAATGTGTATTGGGTATTTAACATTGACTTTTCTTTAAAAAAAGCCCTTGATCAAATTCGATATATCTGCCAAACACACAATGTAAAAACTAAAAACTTTGTCTATTTTTCCTAGAGAAGACTATTCCTTTTAAATTAGCGTTTGATTTCTGTAGTTTCTTTCTAGGTAAAGCCTATTTATACCCGTTTAATTTCCAACTGCAAACATTTTTCTTTTAAAGACCTTAAAAATCTAATTAAAGCCAAGCATGAGCTGAGCATGACGTGAAGATGATACCAACAGCGAAAGAGGCTGTGCCCTCAAGTCCCTCTAGCACTATACCTGATGTCTCGTGTGCGAATTCCTTCGTCCTCTGCTAGAAGCATTATCAGAAATATAGGATGAAAAAGAAGACAGAGAGTAAACACAGCAGAGACACAAGATATAGATTACAGGGTCTTACAATTTATCCAATATAATGAATTCCTCAAGTCACGGGAAATAAAAACTCTTGGTGTGCTTCAGAGCTGGCCTAATGAATGGAATTTAAAATATTTTGTGCCATCTCATTTGCACGAGTAAAAATAACCCATTTTATCAGGTTGCTCTTTTCCTTTTTGTACAAATTATGGCTTTAAAAAAAAATAAAGAGGGCTTTCTCTTTTGCCCACATAATAACACCCACATTTATTCCCTCTTCTGAAGGCACTCAAACCCAAATACTGTTTCCTCTCTGACTTCAGGAAATATTATATTGATTTTCTGGGAAAGCAAAGAGCCCCAGGACAGACTTGGACATAATGACCTGCCTCCTTTTATGAGAGGCTGAGACCATTATAGTGAGAAGCGTGGAGATCAGCCACCCAGATGGCTGGTGCCAGTACCTTGACGAATGTTTCCAAATCCCCATTAAACAACTTAGCATTATACTGTGAGCGGGGTCTGGACTTCCTGTGTTTCTGGGGCTTAGGGGGAACATTTGGAGGCCTAAGGGAAGGGAATATAATTACTGAGCATGGCAGAAATCAAACAATAAAGGAAACACCCATTGGTCACATCAGAATTACAAAACACGGGAATCTTAGGTATCCCCACCCCTGCCCATGGGGAAAAACAGTCCCTCCCCTTTCCCATTTACTTTTACTTATGTATCAAAAAACACACAAGCTATTTACTCATACTGCTGTTTTCCTGTATGTTATAGCTGACGTTTGTTTGTTTGCTGGTTTGTTGAAAAATGATAAGCATTACCAAATGGAATTGTGAGCTATTTGGCCAAATGTTACAAAGTAGGGTTCTTGTTACTTGGCTATGAGTCACATAGTAAGACACCACCAGTGATAAAAATTAGGGCTCTGAAAGATCTCCAAATGAGAAATTAAATATAATATTTTTAGTTGTCACGTAATTCTTCAATGCAAGTAACATCACATCCATTCAATATCTCTCAGCTATTAGTGGGATTTTATTTTATGCAAAAGTAACCATTAATGGGTCACAAGTGAAAAAAAAAATTTGGTTTCAGTGTTGTTTCTGATGGGCAGGGTACTGGCTCACATGAATTATCTTTTCTTTGGAACAGACTATCCCACCACCTAAATATTGGTAGAGCAGGACGCAGTCGTTTTTGCTGTTCTGGATTCTTCGTCTCCAGTGTGTCTGCTGGCTTTGGTGGACAAGCCAATCTCTCTGCCATATGCACATCCAGTGCACCGTGTACTGTACTTGGAAACCCTCCATCCCCTTGTGCTGTGATCGCAGAGAGGGAACCTCTTCTTCTCTCTCCCTGTAGTGGAAAGAGGGCCAGGATTGCCTGACTTAACTTCTCCAATTATGCTGACTGGGATATGTGGAAGGAGAGCCCTGAGATCTCTCTCTGGAGGTTCCAATTTAAATTCTTTCTAAGTGCAAGGCTTACATGAGGATACACACCACACTTGGGGATTATGTGAAACACTTCATTAACCTGCAGAATCTCTAGGAAAAATTACCTTCTTAGTTTATTCAGCTCAAGTTCAGAACGTCCAGTTTAGAAACAAAATCCCAAGAATTTATGTGGAAGCCCGACTAACTTCCTAAGATATGACCACGGCAATTAAGAGATGCAGGGGAACAAACTCGCTGATTCCGCCTTCCACAGCTAAATTCTAAGACTCTCCCAGCAGATGGGCTCATATGACTAACGGGGCGTATAGCAAGCAGCACCTGAAGTCCCAAGGTGCTTGAGAAGTTAAAAGGAGCCTTTGCAAGTATCTAGAAGCAAATATGGAAACTTCTACCAGGCAGCAAGCACCTCATGTCCTGCCACAGCTGAAGTTTCTGAAATCTCTTTTATACAGCAAATTCTGTGCCATCCATGGAGGAAGGAATCTGGTAAGTGTAAAAAAACAAAGCAACTAACCACCGAAGAGTTTAACTATATGTGCTTGATTCCATCCACTCCTTTCATTATTTTGTAAGTGTTTTAAAAATGTGGATTTTATTTTTATTCAGGTATGGTGAGGCTAACAGATCAAGAGACAACTGCCGTTGAAAAGATGGTGTTTTACTCATAGTTCCTGGCGAGGCCGCAGGGGGTGGCTGGGAGACGGAGGGAGCGAGGGGAAAATGTGGCCAAGCAGAGCCAGGGGAAGCAGGGCAGGGAGGTTTAGAACTGGCTACTTTGAACAATGTTGGTGGGCTCTGGGCATGGTGATGATCTCCGGTACCTGGCCCTGGGGTAGTCAGGGAAGGGCAACAGTGGCTGTGAGTGTGTGAACCTGATAAAGCAGGTGGTTGGGGGCTGGGCTCTGGGTCAGGTGGCTTCATACAAAAGGCACACTTGCAAGCCCGTCCTTACGACCTCTAGGAATTGGCTACTCTCTGGATGGGCCATCCTTCCACGGTCCGCTAGGCCCCACGATATCAAAGCATTAAATACAGAAACTGGAAAATGTGGAAATGTGGATATTACAACGAGGTCCAACAGAGCTTCACATGTGGTGACATCTGGTGCAGCTGATGAAGCTAAGGGGATCAGAGTTTTGTTTTGTCACTGATTCGTGGGGTAAGCCAATCTTGCAGCTGGAGCCAAAGCCTCCAGTGGCATTGAATTATTGTCCCTGCATGACTGGGAGATGCAAGGTCACCTCTGGCTGGGGCTAATGGAGGGACGTCTTTTGAGTCTTCTGCTAAAGGCCTGAAAATTGCCTCTCCCAGAGATTCTAAAGCATGAGTTAATGTGAACAAATTAAAGTTGTGAGAGGAATTTGGAATTAAAATGAACTGCCTGTGTGCTTATCAAAGTAATTTCTGCGGTGGAGGTGGGTTATTAGGCAGACTGGTGCGTGGATGATTCTGGCACCACTACGCCCACAAGAGAACAGCGCCAGGACTGTTCGACATTCCAATTGCGTGACTCAGTCTGGTTCTGTGCCTACCACGATGCAACTTCTGATAAGTTGGTTTCCTGTATAGAATGCCCACATGAGAGGAAGTACTGGTCAGGTTGATGTGAGTATCTAGTCTATCTGGTAATTACAGTTTTCATTCATATATTTGCATTCTTTTTTTTTAAATCTTTTTTTGAAGCGCCTCACATTAATTATAATTTGGAAATAACAGGTAAAATAATTGATAGTGCAAAGAGATACTATATGTGAAAAAAAAATCAGTACTTTTTTCTTTTGTCATGTTTAGAAAAGTCTGTGGCTGTATCTTTCTAGTTGGTTCACCAAGAAGTAAGAGGGGCTTCCTTATGGAGAAACTGCCCACCAGTAACATTACAGAATCTTGAAAATCAATTTGCCAATTATGGCAACAGGCACACCAGCATTCTAAATGCCTCTTACCTCAAAGAAAACTCAAGTTTAAAAGTGCAAAATCTTACTATGTTAATTAGGATAATTTCTGGCTGTTGCACAAATGGTGACATAGAAAAATGAAAGTTGCTACAAACGTTCCCCAATCCAAATTAGAATCTGTTCCAAAATGACTTTTCTTTCTTAGCAGTGGCTTCAAAAATCCTTCCATGAATGAAGAAAGTACAATATGGGTATAGGAGTTAAAAGTTAAATTTTTAAAGTGAACCAACAAGGGCAAGAAAGAGAGTTAAAAGCCTAAGGATATTCAATAAAGCTCTAATTTTTAATATGACTCAAGGGAAAGTAGGAGCAGAAAGTAATCATATTTCTACTTACAAATGTAGTAGATATGGACATATTGTTTTTAAATTAAAGTATCAAATCAAAAGTCTTGTTAGACTATTTCTAAAAACTTACAAGGATTTTGGATGAGATGAACCAAGCCTGTCCAACTTAGGTCTTTGTTACTGTCTCTGCTTATTAAAGAGCTTTACAATTCCATTGGGAAACCCTTAGCAAGGCCAGAGCATATCTGTTCTTGTGAGAACCTCAAACTTTTCATGTTGCTATGCTTTCTCAAGCCAAAACTGTCTTGCAAGTTCATTAACAAAATATGTTCATTCTTGCAGCATTGAAATAGTTGCTTCTTATTAAAGAGAAAAGAAAGCAAGATATACTATAAGTTATGATAAAATATTTTCCTACCTCGTAGTCATATATTCAGCTTTATGACCTGCAGGAAAAAAAGAATTAAAATAAGTATATTGAATGGAATCCAGTGGAATGTATTTGGTAATCTTTTGTATCATCTTTCCCTTATTTTAAGATGCTGAGTTTATAATAACTTGCACATTTGATGGTAGAAAACATGAGGATAGCATATGAAGATAGATAAATAATTCAAAGTAAATATTTCATAAAATCTATACATAAAATTTAGTAAATTCTGTAGAGAAACATGTTAAACTTAGCAATTTGAGGCAGGGCTTTTTGTTTTTGTTTTTTAAACAAACAAGAAATAGCTATTTCTTCCTAACTGTAAGTTCAAAGATGAAATGCAAATAAAACATATCCAAGGTTTGTATGTTAGTTATTCCTTCTCCTTGATTGATACTTGTAGGGGAGAAGTGGGGGGTCAATCAGGGTTGGGAGAACTCAATTTCCCTTAGACTAAATTGGTATTCTTTCTGTAATGGGAAGCCAGGGACTGGAGAGAAGTGGTATTCCGTAATCAGAAATGACACTTGCAGATATTAAAGTACAAGGACATTAAATTATACTACATTCCACCAACTTATAAGCTAAAAGTCTTTCATAGAGTTCTCTGTCCATTAAAACACGAGCTGCTTCTTACACATTTGGGCTTCTTGACTTGTTTTAGATATAGTAACACGTCTGAATTTTTGTGGTGATCCCACAACCTGCGCTCATTTCAAGTTTTTGTGTTTATATGGTTGCTGTCCGCTCTCTCTTATGTTTAAGGTATACCAGTGGGAAGGGGTGTGGGAGAGTTGAATCACTCAGCTGGCTTGTTTGCAAAATGGTGATATGGTCCTGAAATAGCTTGAAAATACAGCTGGCAGGGGAGGGTCATGTTGCAACACAAACAGGTGAGCCCAGCCCATCCTATCATAGTGCAGTGATTCAGACTTACAGGGCGAAGCCAATGTAACACTGGTGAAGAGACCTAGCTTGCGGGGGATGGTGAATCAACACTCCCAGGCTGCAACAGAGGCTTTTACTCTATTATCCGCTCTTGAATAACAAATTACATAAAGGATTTGATTACTATCTATTGATTATACAGGGGAGAACAGTTAATATCCGAGGATACCTTTCTCAACACAGAGCCAGGCCACAGTAAGTGTTGGCAGAATCAATTCTTGGCCATGACTGGACATGGGGATGAGGGGAGTGGGGAGATCCTGCTCCCCGCTCCAGTTCTACCTGTCATTTAACCATAGGTCCTCTCCTTTTGCTGGTCTTTTGCTACTTCAGGAGAGAAGAAGAAAAGGGAAGGTGTCCATAGAACCCTAGAATAATTGATAGCTATTCACGAATGGGAGAGAAAGTCTATTGGAAAGTAGAGGGGCAGACGGTGAGCTGATTGTGGTGTGTGGTGCCTTATGTACTACCCTAAGGGAAGTGTTCAGCAGCTGGCTATACAGGGTAAAGCGCAGAGAGAGACAGGGCAGGAGATAAAGATGTGAGAGTCACTACCATTTAGGTTGCATTGGGGATAGGAGACAGCCAAGATTGTAAGTCAGTAGCGTAAGCCAAGGGTTGAGGGTAGAGAAACTATCTGGCTTGGTGCTATATCGTATTCTGTCATGTTGTGTACTTTATTATAGCATTAAGTATAATTAAGCATGATGTAATAATATGTATTAGTAACAACAATAAAAACAGCAATGATATCTAATATTTATTAGACACTATTTTAAGTACTTTATATTGATATATTAACTCACAATTTTCACGATGACCTGAACAGGTAGCTTTCATTATTACTCTTATTTTGCTAAAGAGACTGAGCATATAGAAAAATGACTTGTCCAACATCACACTATTAGTATGGGATGGATCTGGCACCAAGGTTCAGGTTTTGTTTTAATTCCAGTCCTGAGCTCCCAAGTACTATACTGTACTACCTTAAAAAAATGTAAGTCTTTTTATCCTGACAAATACTTTGAAAGATCCTAGAGGAAAGGTAGGGATTGTGGCTTATAATTCTGTCTGTCCCATATAGCTAAAGCCAAATATAAAATACAGAACATTTTAATAAATTTAATGAATAAGAAATATGTACATTATTAAATTGATAAATATCTATGAATTTAAATTGAATAACACAAGTTAATCACTTTCAAGTGATTCAATGATAATGATGCTAATGACAATTTCTTAGAAATGAAATGCTTTATAACTTTGAAATTTTGCTATTTTTGTTAAAATATCCCAATCATTCCCTAGATATAGAAAATGATATGTAAAATGCTCGAAATTATTTTGCTCCATCCATTCATGGTTAATAGTATGAGATAAAAAATTCAAAACCTATGAAACATACATTTTGAATAATGAACCAAGAGCAAGCTCTGTTATCATCCACGGCAAAACCATACCACCACATCCATCGTTTTTTCAGCTAATAGTCTTGAGTGTGTCTCGACTGATGAATGAGGTTTTATTTTTTAATCAGTATCATCATTAATAGATCAATAACACACAAGCCCACAAGACTCTCCTTCCTAGAGAAATGTGAAAGCTTCCAGTGGTCTGAGGATTAGATTTCAATCACTTTCTTTGGAAGGCTACTTAATTATTAAAAACAAAAGGCAACTCCTCTCCCCTCCGCCACCTCTACATATAAGCCATTTGGAGGAAAAAAAAATGACCCAAGATTAACTTGTTCTTGGTACAAACACTTGCTTCACCTACTCTTAAATTTCACTTGAGAATTATGAAGTGAATTATTTTTCACACCTAAATGCATTTTATCTCCATACAGAAAAACGGAAAACCAAAATAAAATTTGGTGACAATTTGAGATTTAAAAACTCTACATAAAACATATAGAATGTGCACAGCTCAAACCAGACAGAGACACTATGGACTTGTTCCCTAATAAATGATGAGGTCTCCTGGTGTTACTCTCCAGCCCTTTTCTTAAGAATACCAACTACTGCAGTGCTTTTCTAAAAAAATATAATTATTCAAAATCAGCTTCTCTTTTGAAAGTATATTTGTACTCCTACTCAAAGACAGAAAATGGATTGTGTGAGGATAACCTATTAAATTCCTTTGTCAGAAACCTTATGCCCAGGGCAAGAAACAATGGAATATGGAGCTCAAGTTCCTAGTGTCAGATTTTCTAGGTTTAGCAAAATTGCACTGATATTTACACCCGCTTAACTCCAAATATTGCACACAAAGAAGCCAACGTGAACATTAAAGCTCATTACTGAAAAAGAAAAGTCTCAGTGCCTCAGTTTTATAGATATGTATCTCATTTACTGTGATCAATTTAACTTGTCTGATTTAAAAACAAATGACATCACAAAAAGATATAATGGTGTTGCTGAGGGATGAAGAAGATGATGATGAATTTGGTCTTAATGACTCATTATGTGTTTCTTTCTCTTTCAATAGTTTTCAAAGATTTGGAATTCTGAATTTTGACAATGCCACTTTAAGAGCCCAATCTAGTTGCTTCACAATGTTGTAAATCAAAGAACTTACTGGGCTACTGGTAGTCTGCCAAAAAGCAAGCAGTGAGGCAGGCCAAACACATGTCTGTAGTTACAGATTCAGCTGTGTACGATCAACTGCTAAATCTTTGGGTTAGGCTCTATTTGTTTTACTATGAAGGCAGTTTTTGCAGCAGTGAGTCCAGTATACTTCAGAGAGGTGATTTCTATAAAAAAAAGTCAGGACTGTCCCCAAACACACCACTGAATATTGTACTACTAACCCTATTTAGCCAAATCCAGACTTGGATTCCTTCATAAAGGCTCACCATTGGATTACTTCATCGTGGGACAGGCGCCATTAACTCTTCTGGTCTCCTTTGGTGTAAGCCTATTAACACAATGAGGGCTTGCATGGAAAGCCGGCAGGCTCACAATGGTCGAGCTAAAAGGTGGGGCATGTCTCCCTTGCTCAGCTTTTCTCTGGGCAAAGCTGCCAGTGTCAAACCCAGGCAGTGAGCAGCAATTGGTGTGCTGTCAAGCCTGCATGAGGGGCAGGGCTGGGAGCAGAGAGGTCTGCAACCAGCGGGCAGAGGCTGGTGTGTCTGCTGCCGCTGGATGAAAACCATCCATTTCCTTTTGCAGAATAACCGAGTCCAGTGAAGGTCTTCTACACTTGAACACAGCTGGTGCCAGTGGGACACCGGAGCCCATTGAAAGAAATTCCAAGATAAAGAAATCCTGGCTTAGAGTTCACAAGGTTTAACACAGCTTTCTACAGTTTCGTAGCTAAAGACAGAATCTGGCATGTGAATTCAGCAAACTGGCTAAAATATAGCCCTATCCAATAATGACATGTAAAATAATATTAACCATGGGGCTTTCCCTCTAGGAGACATAAAAGAATCTATGTTCAATGTGTACCATAAAAGTTTCAGAATGTGGTCCCAAGTGTATTAACACACGTGTCTGCATGTAGTGCCAAGAATGAATTCACCCACTACTTAATTCTCTCAAACTCACAGTTTCTAAAATGGTATCCAGTCTTGTAGGGAAGGACTTTGTGCTTGTAAGCATTAATTTACACTTAGGATAATTTATGCTTGGGGCTGGCAACTGACCTTGAGTGCATCACTTGAAATATCAGGCATTTGTAAAAAACGGGGGAAAAAAGACCTTACACGATACTGTGAGGGGAAAAAGAAAAAGATAGGACACAATTGCTGAAGTAAGAAAACTATTCAAAGATAAAAAGACTTTTTTTTTTTTTTTAAAGATCAAACCTACAAAAGAGTTGAAAAAATAGTGCCGGGAACATCCTTATACCCACCCTTCATGTAGATTTTTCAATTGTTAATATTTGCCAAATTGGCTCTACCTTCTCTCTTTCTCTTTCTCTCTCTCCCTCTATCTTTTTTTCTGAACTATTTGCAAGTAACTTGCAGACACAATGACACTTCAGCAAGCATTTCTTAAGAATAGGAACGTTCTTCTTTATAACAACAATACCATTATCATATCTAGGAAAATCAACCTTAATTTAACAATATCATTTAATATATAGTCTATACTCAAACTTTCCCAATTGCTCTTAAAATGTCTTTCATAACTTTTGGTTTTTGATTGAGAAATTAATCTAATCTAATGTGCGACGGTTCACATACTGTGTTTGGCTATTTTATTTTTAAAGACAGTTTTTAGTAGTTTAAAAGTTGCATTTTCTTTTTTTTTCTAAGTGAAGTTGGCCTTTTATCTTGGATTCTGGCATCTTAAATGTGTGATACATGTAGTTTTACTTAGGTCATGGTAACCCTTCTCCAGGTGGTCATTCCCTAAGGATGATGGGTTATTTGGAGGAAACCAGGAGATAAGGTGATGGAAACACTGCTTTATGGGTAAGGAAGGTTCCAGAATGGTAGGAGGCAAGAATTTAGGTCTAAAAGTGGCAATCTCTTTTTGACTTGAGTTACTCACACAACTCAGTCTTCTCATTGCCACTCCCTTCCATAGTCTCTTTCACTTTTTATAACTTCCAGCAGGATTTCGTGTGAATAAAAGATAATTAAAGCTACAGACTAAGTTGAGGCACTTAAGACAGGGACTTTGCTTGAATTTATTTTTTTCCTTCTAAATTTCATTAGGATGAAAAGAGAAACAATAACATTTACATGGTCCCCTTTGTCTATAGTCCTTTTTCCCCTCAGTTTCCTCATTTGTAAAAATGGGGAAACTAACAGTGCTCAGTTAAATAGATAGCTCAGAACAATGCCTGGCACAGAGAAAGCCTCATATATGTGTTAGCTGTTGTTTTTGTTATTATGATTAGACACAGCAATCTACTTCTACTATTAGATTATTTCTCAACTACAAGGGATGTCTACCGAAAGAAAAAAAAAAAAATCACCCAAACTGGTTTAGCTGGTTTCTAGAGTCCAAAAAGGCAATAGAGGGAACAACAAATACCAGCCCATTAAAACAAACAGGGGTGGGGCCAGAATGGTGGAAAAGGGAAGGAAGAAATGACTGAGGGGTCTGCAGGGGGGACAGGTCCAGCTCCTCCAGACTTTCCCTCCTCAGGAGCTCTGTGACAGTTCTTTAGCCCTCCCTAGATTTCACTATTCTTCCTTAAGGTCAGCACCAAGCTTAAAAAGAAAATAGTTCCAGGGAGAGCTTGATTATTACAGATACAGATAAAAGCAACTCTAAACATACAGCGTTCTCTGCTTCTTAAAGCACAAACACACAATTCACACTCTTTCTGGAATATACATACATGACAGAATGTATTACTCATGTCATCTTCCATCTATTCCACATAACTGACCTTCTCCAAGGGTCCTCTGCAGCAAGTCATGTTTGGCTTGAAGTTTTGTGATGAGATTGCTGCCTTCCAAATATTCTCTGAGTTTCTGCAAAAGACAAGATGAATTCATAACTTTTAAAAATTACTCAACGTCAAGGAACTTCTCACAGGAGATCTAAAATCCAGCCACTTGTATCTTTTAGATCCTAGAATCTTGCTACTCAAAGTGTGGTCTGCAGACCAGCAGGTCCAGCCATCTCTGAGGAGCCTATTAGAAATGCAGACTTTCAGGTCTCTTCCTCCTCAGACCTCTTGAAATTAGAACCTACCTTTTAACAAGCTCTTCTGGTGACACGTATGTACATTAAAGTTTAAAAGTACTGTTTTGGAGCAGTCCTCCAACTCCTAAACTCTATCCCAGACTAACTGAATCAGGAACTCGGAAGGTAGACAGGAGTCCATATTTTAACAAAGAACCCCAGGTATTCTGATGCAACTACAGAAGCAGCATTTGGGAACCCAAGATCTAGGCTCTGTCCACAGTGGCTTGGGAAAGCAATGGACGCACCATGAAGTAGAACTGTTCTGTTTCCTGCTGGTTAGCTCTTCTCTTGGCGATGCTGGGCTTACTCAGGTAGGTTTCAGAAACAGTAGACTTCACAGACTCTGTGGAGCGACTATGCTGGAAGCATTCCGAAACATCGTAGTCCTCGATGGTGACCATATCTTGTATTGTCTGCAAGGTGGCTTCAGTTGTTTTCTTAACCTGGGAACAGAAATACATTTCTCATGTTAGCACATTATTTCATGAATTCCACACACCCTCAGTGAGAGTCAGAGATGAGAACATAGACCCTGCCCCTGAAAAGTTCAGAGTCTATTGGGGAAGAAAGACAGATAAACAGTATTCCATATTACCAAGGTAAGGGGATGATCTCTTCAAAGTTATCCTAAGGAGGATATCACTTTATATTTGAGTTCTTATAAATCTTATGTGTCACTGGGTACTCTCTCAATTACTTTCCTGATTTAAATAATCTTTCCAAATGAAGTAAAACTATGTACAGAAAAACACACAGGTCATAAATATACAGTTGATGAATTAACACAAAGTGAACACACCTTTGTTAGCACCACTCAGATCAAGAAATAGTATGTTACGAGCATCTTTGTGCCTCTCCCAATCACCATACATCCTCTCTCTTCCCCAAAGGTACACACTACCCTGACTTCTAACATCATATATTAGTTTTCCCCTTTTTTGTACTTAACATAAATGAAATCCTACAGCACATATGATTTTGTCTTGCTTCTTTCACTCAGTGTTAGTGAGATTCATTCATTCCTTATGAGTATAGTATTTCATTGCTGAATATTCATTGTAAGAATACATCATAATTCATCCCTTTTACTATTGATAGATGACTTATTTTTAGTTTAGAGCTATTTCGAATAATGCTGTTATACACACATTTTTGTTGGGCCATATGTACGTGAGTAGAATTGCTGCTCACAGGGTATGCCAGACTGTTTTCCAAAATGATTGTTGCAATTTCTGTTACCACCAGCAGAGCAGGAGAATCCCGGTTACTCTGCATCTTCACCAACATTTGGTATTGTCAGTCTATTTAATTTAAATCGTTGTATAGAGGGTGCAGTAGTATCTCACTGTGGTTTTAGTATGCATTTTCCTGATAGATGAGCACATTATCATACGTTTCAGGCAAACTGGAGCTCCTTCATTGAGAATGCTTTGGTCAAATCTCTAGCTCAATTTTCTACTGGGTTATGAGTCTATTTCTTAAAGACATGTAGACATGGGAGTGAGTCTCTTGTTAGTTATATGTGTTGCAAATGTCTTTTCCCACTCTATGCTGTGCTTTTTCGCTCTTTTAGGTCCAGATAAATAGTTTCTGATTTTCATGTAATCAATTTATCAGTTCCTTCCTTTATGATTAGTGCTTTTTGTATCCTATTTAATAAATATTTTCCTATCTTATGGCCATGAAGATACTGTTCTATGTTATCTTCTAGGACTTTTTTATTTATCCAAGGTCATATTCTTCCTTTGCTTATCAAAGTCTAATGTAAATTGATAGTTTTATCTTTCTCCCACACAATGTAAAGAGTTTAGAACACATTAATTCCATTTATCCCTCCAGATTTATGTTATTTTTATAATGTATTATAATAGGATATATATGTAAATATTTATACATATTTAAATAAAAGACAAAATAAATAATAAAAAATAAATGAATGTTACTGTTTTATAGTCAATATTCATTTAACTTTATCCGTATATTTATTATATTCCCTATCTCCATTCCTTATATTTTAAGAGCACCCTTTAGTAATTCTTTTTAGTATGCATCCATTTTTGTTGACTTGAACATATCTTTTATTTCACCTTTGTTTATGAAAGATATTTTTTGTAGTTGACAGTTATTTTCTTTCTGTATATTAAAGATAATCACCGTACTGTTGTAGCTACCGTGTTCCTGTTGAGTGAGAAGTTTGTTATCAGTTTGTTACTACTTTGAATGAAATCTGCTTTCTTTCTCCAGCTGCTTTTAAAGTTTTCTATTCATCTTTGGATTTCTATGGTTTCACCATAATGTGTCTAGGTAAGGATTCTAAAAATATATTCTGCCTGGAATTTTTCTGACTTCTTGAATCTGTGTGATGTTTTTCATAAGCTCTGGTAAATTTTCAGCCTTTATTGTTTTCAAATATTGACTCTATTTTCTATAATTTTTCTGACTGGGAGTTCAATTAGTATACTAGACTTCACTGTGTTCTTTATATCTCTTATTCTTCTCTTCTGTATTTTCTATCTTTTGCTTTCCCATGATGCATTTTGATTATTTTCTTCTGATTTGTCTTCTATTTTGATGATTCACTCTTCAGCTATGTCTATCTTGATGTTAAAACCACCCACTGATTTCTTAATTTTGGTTATTGTATTTCTCAGTTCTAGAATTCCCATGCGGTTCATTTTCAAATCTGTTATTTCACTGCTTATTATTCCTTGCTGAAATATAAGCTTGACTTATCTCCTTGAATACTGTATATAGCTCTTTTACAATTTATTTCTGATAATCTCAATATCTGGAGTTCCTGTGGGTGTGTCTCTATTGTTTGTTATTTCTTCTGGCTATCATTCATGGTTTCTTGTCTCCTCATGTGTCTAATTATCTTTGCTGGGCATTTTTGTAGAGTTATTTGAGGTCTAAGGTGGAGTTTATTTTCTCAAGCTACTAGGGGCATTAGTGGTTCAGAATCACTGGATTTTATTACTGTTCCAAATACTGGATGTTTTTCACTGTGCAGTGATAATTATTTTTAGTTAATTGCACTTTTTCCAGTAAATTTTGGGTTTTACGAGTATGTATATATTTGTACAGAGGAAGAGAATTATACTTTTGTTTCCTTCCTTGTTGTATACATTGGTTTGATACCAATATGTCAATTTTCTGTCCTTCCTTCTGTCAGTGGAAGGTGGAGACAAATTCCTTATTTATTGTAGAGAAAAGTGCTACACAGAGACTCCAAATCAGCAATGACAGTTATGTTGTTCCCAAGTAATGACTTGTTATAGTCTCTTTCTCTCACGCTAGACAGATGCTAATTGTGACTTACTCATCTCTGCACTCCCTACACCTAGCAAAGTATCTGGAATATAGAAGGCACCTTGACATAAACTGAAACGTCTTTTTTCCCCTCTATTCCTATGGAAATCTACTGATTGTCAAAAATCTAATGTAAATCTTCCTTTCTTTGGGAATCACATTCCACTACAGTAAATTTTGTTCTGTATTCACCAAATCATAAACCACTAGTCATGCTCATGAGGAACATCAGGACAACCCAATTCATTTGCTGCTTCAGCTAATTTTTTTTTTTTTTTTTTTGAGACAGAGTCTCACTCTCTTGCCTGGGGCGAGTGCCGTGGCGTCAGCCTAGCTCACAGCAACCTCAAACTCCTGGGCTCAAGCAATCCTACTGTCTCAGCCTCCCGAGTAGCTGGGACTACAGGCACGCGCCACCATGCCCAGCTAATTTTTTTTTTTATATATATATTTTTAGCTGTCCAATTAATTTCTTTCTATTTTTGGTAGAGACGGGGTCTCGCTCTTGCTCAGGCTGGTCTCGAACTCCTGAGCTCAGAACGATCCGCCCGCCTCGGCCTCCCAGGTCAGCTAATTTTTAAAATGTTAAAAATTCACTCTCATAAAGCACTGCCCACCTCTATTGCTTTATAAAGTCACTGTGCTTCTCCACATTATGCCTACAAGGGCATACATTAAGGGTCACAAACTGAAAGGCCTGCTGAGGCCAGACAGATCCCATGAATAGTTCAGTGTAAGAGAAGTGGGAGTTGAATGGCTATGGCAAAGTACAGTTCAAATGCCCCAGCCTTTCACTTCACGAGGCAATGCATGACCAGAGTTGCCAGACTTTTGAAATTTTTTACAGGTCAAAACTTTGGGAGCTAAATAAAACAGGTCTGTGAGCTGCCAGTTTTGACCTTGTGTATAATACACTATTTTCCTAGAGTTTAGAGAATGTTTTCCAAATAAAACAGCAGGAAGATACGCATAAAAAAGTTGGGAGTCACTAGACATACAAACTGTAGACATAATAGGATTCAGGAAGCTCCATGATGTGAGTATTTTGTGATACCCAGCCAAAATCCTAAGCTCTCAAACATCATCTCAAGGAGAATAACGGCACTTTCCTCTGGAAAGGCTCATTGGTGGGACCTTACGTAGAGATCACATTGGTTGCACCTTAAATACACATATATGAGTAAGGGCTGGTTTGGTTCCTTCAGGAATAATGGGAGCTGGAAAACTACAATAGGTTTTGACCAAGTTATGCTGGTCTAGAAACACATCATTCTTTATTAACAGAAATAAACACTCATAGCTCAAAACATCCCACTGGGATTAAAACAAAACAGGGTGTGAATGTGAATTTTGATAATCACTTTATCATTGTGAGTTATTTTTTTCTTTCTGTCGCACATTCCTTCCTTTTGGGAATTGTCTGTCTCTAGAAATACATGATTTCTGTTGGAGCTGTCAATCAAAGGGCTGTATGAGTTACACATTATCTAGGCTGGCCAAGTAGAGAATCCCATCTCCCAGATGTAATGGTTGGTCCAGAAGTATGCATGACTTAAGCCAGGTCAGCACAATCACTCCTATTTCAGAGATAAGGATGCTGGGATGGGGCGAGATGGCAAACTGTAAGGGAACATGTAGTTCTGGGTCTATCCCCAAAGAAATCACTTTAAAGTGATGAAAAGGGGAGGGCAGGGGGGAGAGAGAGAGAGAGAGAGATATTCATGATACCATCATCTGAGCACAAATCCAACAATGTCTGAGGCTACTGCAAACAATAAGTTAAATTTTTAACTTGAGTAAGTTTGATTTGGGTTCCTATAAACTACAACTGAGAGCCTTGACTAATACAAGAAACATTTTTGATTCATATTTCTATTTTACGAGAACGTGGATCCAATTAAGTTAATTTCAAAAACAAGCAGCTGAATTTTACAATTGCTTCCTGGCTCAACATATAATTCACATTTTTTGTGCTATCATTTAAATACACTAATGTCAGCAAGTAAACAGTTTTCTACCCTCATTAAAGTACCATTTCTAAATATGATTCTGCATTAATTATATCAGTTATGCCATGTTCAATACCAAAAATTTAGAGACTAAAGGAAAACATAAAGAAAAATCCCAAGTACTGTACTAATTTCAAAAATTAGGATTAAATTAACGTCAGAGAAAAGTTACACTGTACACATGATAGTATATTTTTGGACATGTATGTTAAGTTAGATCATCCATGGAAACTATTTTCAGTATGAATTAAAATTTAAGGAAAGAAAAGCTGTGTTTACATGTATTGCACATGCAGTGAATCTCTGGCAAAATATTAATCTGTGATAGAATACAGAAGCCCTGCATTTATCTCCTACAAAGAGTATTAAAGGAACCCTGACAGCTGAAAAAGCATGATGAAGAGGTTGCACTTAGAATATTAAACATGCCTAGGTCATGTGAGAATGCCTTCCAGTGTGCATTGGAATTCAGATTACCGGTGGGGCAGAAAGCATGCTCACCTCCTCGTTTTCGATTTTGAGTGTGGCAAGGCGGGACTGTAGCTGTTGGTACCTGAGCATCAGCTCCGCCTGGACTGGCTGCTGGGCGCTGACCTGGCACACCTGATGGGGAATCAGAAAGTGCAGTTACAACAGGGTATCGTCGACCAGCCTCCAGAGGCACGGTTTTTCCTATCGAAACGCTGCGTGAATCACGCTGATCCTCTCGAGATCCCAATTACATATTTACTTTTCACAGCCGCCTCAAAACTTCACTTTTAAATATGGACCTGTTGTGCAAGTGGCAAGAACTAAACGCAGCTGCCTGGCCTGGCTACGGCTGGGAAGACAGCAGCTGCAGGAAGCATTGCTCTAAGAACAGGGCAGTTCCTGAGATGGAGCTCTGATGCTGGTCTCACTTCTGGAATTCTTAATGACTATCAGGCAGAGGGCAGAGGAGGATTCAAGTGGACCATACAGGCAGAGGAAGGCAGTAGAGCTTGTTGGTTAGAATGTGGGCTCTGGAGTCAAACAGTTGTGCCTCAATCCCAGCTCTGCCACCCCACCTCCTAGCTGGGTGACTGTGGTAAGTTACAAAACCTCAGTTTCCTCATCTGTAAAATGGGGATATTCAGAGTTCTCATACCACAGGGCTGTTGTGGGAATGAAATGAGACAATGCACACGAAGCATTTACAACACTGCTGGCACATAGTAAAAACTCAGAAATATGCAGGACTATTCTCAGCATCTTTCAACCCTGGCTTCCCTAGCCAATGTCAGCCAAATCCTGTGATTCACCATGAACTTGAAGAGGCCACTCATGTTAGGCTTTGGTAGAAGATATTTTGGCCATGATCTCAATGACAGATAAAGTCAAAATCAGAGCATTATTAAAATTGCACCAGAAACAAACAATTTCTTATCATCCTTATCATAGAAATGCTCTTGGCTGACAGGGGTTCCTTTTATGGAGTCTCCAAAACATCAAAGAGATTACTGCTCCCTGGCAGAACTGGCCATAAAAAAGGGCAACAGACTTACTTTATTAAAATAACAAGAAAACCATTAATAACCAACTGAAGTCATTCGTCTGTCATATTTTATTATTCTATGTTTAACATACCCTCAGCTGACAAATTAAAACAGCAATTATTTGTTTTTGGAAAGACAGGATAAGCCACTCATCTTGTTTGTCAAAATTCAGGTGCTATTGGCATAAAAACTGCTTTCCATTTCTAAAAAGGTAATTTGTTCTATCAAACACAAATAAAATTCAATTAGAAATATAACAGGTACATATATATATGAATGTATATATATATATATATGAACATGTTTATATCATAATACTTAGTGTTTCAGGAAAAAATATGACATTAAAGAAATCTGCCATGGATATTATATTTATGTATATTTAAAAAAAAAAACAGGCCAGGCGCGGTGGCTCACACCTGTAATCCTAGCACTCTGGGAGGCTGAGGCGGGTGGATTGCTCAAGGTCAGGAGTTCAAGACCAGCCTGGGCAAGAGCGAGACCTCGTCTCTACTAAAAATAGAAAGAAATGATCTGGACAACTAAAAATATATATATAGAAAAAATTAGCTGGGCATGGTGGTGCATGCCTGTAGTCCCAGATACTCCTGAGGCTGAGGCAGGAGGATAGCTTGAGCCCAGGAGTCTGAGGTTGCTGTGAGCTAGGCTGACGCCATGGCACTCTAGCCAGGGCAACAGAGCAAGATTCTGTCTCAAAAAAAAAAACATACGTAACCTAAACATCTGTACCCCCATAATATGCTGAAATAATAAAAAAAAAAAAAACAGACTCTCACCACAATAAACTAAAATTGAGCTTTTTTCTATGAGTTTGCACAGCTGGGACACCAAGTGCTATATGGCATGCTCCATTAGTTGGTTTTTCTTGTTTTTCCTCCTGTCCATAGAAAATAATATAAAAAACTGTACCTCATAATCAGTTTAAATGGATTTTTTGGTAAAACAGGATAAAAAGCTAAGTTCATAGATAGAATATAAGCCATAATATGTGATTTCTAATGGTCATTTTACCAGTTTGGAGCCAACTTGAATCTTAAAAAAAATTTTGCATTTTTTTTCTTTTTTCCACTTGCCTGCCATTTATAATTATTTTTCTTTATGGGGATCTTTAAATTAGGATTACAAGAAATCTTCAGACAGATTTTATTGGGCCAGCAAAATGTTTTGTTTTTAATTTAAATTTGAATGTCTTGAGGTGGGGGAAGAACCTCCAACTATTCTGGGACACCCAGGTGTCCCAGTGCTTACGCCCAGGGAAGTCTGTGCCTTCATCTGTTTGGTCTCTGTAGTTACTTGAGTGTTTGACCCTTGCTTTAAAAGGTAGTAGCGGCTGATCTTAGCATACTATCATGCTAAGATCCTGTGCAAGGGCAGGAAAGAGAAAACGGCTAAGAATTCTTACGACTGTTGGGTTATAGCAGGTGCAGAGAAATATAAGTGAAGAGACAATTCATTAATTTAAAAATAATCACTGACCTCATCACCCATGTGAGACTGAAACTCAAACTTCATTGGTGGACAGAATGCAGCAGGGTACATCTCCATGAATCTCTGCTTATCACTCCTGGGCTCTAAATTGTCAACTGCATTCTCAATAATGTCTAGGCCTTCATGTCTGGAAGTTTCAAGGTTATATTCCGCAGAGAGATATGTTCTTAGTGCTCTGTTCAGACTTGCATGGTAGCCAAGATCACAGCACTTAAAAAAATAAAAGAACACCATATACAAACATTAAAATAAAATTGATCAAAGGCCTAAATGTGAGTCCTATAACTCTAAAACTCTTAGAAGAAAACATAGGGGTAAACCTTCATGATATTGGATTAGGCATTGGTTTCTTGGATATGAGATCAAAAGCACAAGCAATTAAAGAAAAAATAAATAAATTAGATTCAATCAAAATTGAAAATTTTTCTGTTTTTAAAAGACTATCGAGAAAGTGAAAGGACAACCCACACAATGGGAAAAAATTTTTGCATATCATATATCCGGATGAGGCACTTGTATCTAGAATAAAGAACTCTTGTAACTCAATAACAAAAAGATAAAGCCCAATTTAAAAATGGACAATGGATCTGAATAGACATTTCTCCAAAGAAGACATACAAATGGTCAACAAACATATGAAAAGATGTTCAACATCATTGGTCCATCAGGGAAATGTAAGTTGAAACCACAGTGAGATACTACTTCATATCCACTAGGATGGCTATAGTCATCAAGACAGATAACAACAAGTGTTAGAGATAACGGGGAGGTGCTGGAGCCCTCAAACACTGCTGGTGGGAATGTAAAATGGTACAGCCACTTTGGAAAACAACCTGGCAGTTCCTCAAAAGGTTAATCATAGAGTTACCATATGACTCAACAAATCTAATCCTAGGTATATGTCCAAGAGAAATGAAAACATATTTCCACACAAAAACCTGTAAACGAATGTTAATAGCAGAATTATTCATAAGAGCTAAAAAGTGAAAACTATCTAAATGTCAACCAACTGTTGAATAAACAAAATGTGGTACTGCCATACAATTAATACTGTTCAGCCATAAAAAGGGAGTACTGATACGTGCCACAACGTAGACGAACTTTGAATACATTATGCTAAGTAAAAGAAGCCAGTCACAAAACACCAAATATTGTATGATTCCATTGATATGAAATGTCTAGAATAGGCAAATCTATAGAGGCAGAAAGTAGATTGGCAGTTGCTAAGGGATGGGGGGAGGGAGGAATTGGGGGTGATGACTGAGGGGTGCAGGATTTCTTTATGGAGTAATGAAAAATGTTTTAAAATTGATTGTAGCGATGGATATACAACTCTGGTCAATATAGTAAAAACGAATTGTAGATTTTCAATGGGTAAACTGTACGGTATGTGACGTATACCTCAATAAAGTTGTTAAAAAATAAAAGAAGCAGTGTTACAGCTCTTTTAGAATTTATCTAGCAGGTTTTCTGGTCCTTGCTGGAAGACCCCCCACCCTCCAAAAAATATAAATAAAAATAAATAAATAAATAAAAGAAGCAAATCAAATGCTGAAAAAATAAAAAATAGCATTCAAGTTTGATTCGTGCAATACTGAGCTTGATACAATAATTTATTGAAGTCCATGCAGGCTGCAAATATACTAACTGTAATATTTTAGACTGGCATATTTTATTGAGGACTCAAGAATAATCTGTACTCTCTCAGAAGTGAGAAGAAATTCTTTCATTTTTTGAAAGAAGAACTGAGAAGATTTCAATCTGCCAAAATAGTCCGTGAATGTCTTCCCTCTTATCCACAGAATAAAATTCTTAGATAAGAAGTGATTGCCGAGGCTCTCTTATTGGAGATAGAATTTTGTTTAGTATTCCTAAGAATAAAAGAGCTTTGCTATTCTTAAATCTTCATTACCTTTAATTTGTATTTATATTTATTTTTTCCTGTGCATTTTAAGAGAATATGATCTAAAAATAGAATATAGCTCTGGAAATTAGATATGAATTACTGACAGCACAATTTGAAATTTGTATAGAAGAGCAGAATAAATTGCTTAGAGAGGAAACGAGTGACTTTAAAGGTATAAAAACCAGGTCACTTTTATATCGTTCCAATGAAATTCAATCAATCCAATTTGATTCAATTCAACTCACTAATTGGCCATTGATTAGGTGCCAGGAAATTTGCTAGGCTCTAGGCATATGAAGACTGGAACACAGTAAAAGATCTCCAGTAAAAGATCCCCATCGTCAAGGAATTCCAACAGAAGCTGTTTGTCAATTTGCTCCTAAAATGGTAGTAGAAGGGGCACAAAGGAAGCAACCTTTGTACCAAGGATATATCCACCAGGATGTGAACCACTGATCTACCTTTATGAAGGTACACATTCAATCACTGACCTGTCCTTAAAAATGCCAAAGTATTTGATTCCACCCTATACCCTCCAATTTCAGAATTATTAAATTTGGATTTTTTATGTAAAGAGATTGTAACGTCTTGCTATTCTAAGTTTGATCAATGGTTCAGCAGCAACAGCATAACCAGGGGCTTGTTAGAAATGCAGAAACTCTTGGGTCCCATCCTTTCTCACTCTTGTTAGAAACTCTTGGGTCCCACCCCTGACCTACTAATTCACAATTGGAAGGTTAAAAATTACCCACAGGTGATGCATATGCACATTAAAAGTCTGAGAAGCACTGCCCTACAACAATCAAGTAACAGGGTCCTGCAACCCTGTCTTTTGGGAGCGCTACTTCCCCAAGCAAGCAAGAGGACTTAATTAAGGATGACTTCATTAAAGAAATCAGAAAGTCGCTGTGACATCACATTTACAAATACAAGCAAGATACAATTGTGAAATGCAGCAATCGGTCTCATCATTAATACATTTCCAGCAGAATCAGCAGCACTCGAATATAGAGAATGATTCATTTTCGGTTAATTTAGACATTCTAGTCTCAGATGAACAAAGTCCTCTTTTATTCCCCTTGCTCCTCAAAATCCATAATGGTTCTATGGAGCAGTTTTATACACATCAGAGAGACTGAAAAATTATTCCATCTTTCACTAACGCCTCATTTTATGAAAACACGAATTTGTATAGGAAACGACCTCATTTCTTTGAGATGTAGCAGTTTTTAAAAATACCCCAAAAGAAGACAGATTCTACTTGATTATAATGAAGCAGATGACACAAGCTGCTTGACTTTCTGAGTATTGATCCCAACGGGACTTAATAAAATATTGAATTTGAGAGGATTGAAACCCAGAGAAAAGCCTTTTTCCCTCCCTACAAAAACCAAGTCTCTTACAACTTAAAAGAGAAAGAGAGAAGGAAAAACGAGAAAGGAAAAAAAGAAAGAAAGAAACCTAACCCCAACTACCCAACTGGCCTGGATCTCTGAAAGATACACACCAAGTTTTCATTATTCCTAGAATTTAACAGTTCACTCAAATTTTTAAGTGTGGCTTCTTGGGGGAATGAGTGTGAAGACTACAAAAGCGTCAGTGCCAGTTTCCATACCCAGTGCAGCCAGGTGGATGCTGTAGGTGGGGACCCAGTGAGAGACACGACTGCATTGTGCCTTCCTAACGGGCTGGCGGAAGCGTGCACGCGGCTTAGCAGCTGACCTAGGCGCCTGCTCAGTTGCCTTCTGAGCTTTAGGTGCCACACTTAGGAGGTTTCTGTGATGAGGTTTGATGGGAAATTTCCTTCTCTGACCCCCATGGCACTTGTCAGTCTGAAAGGTCCTTTACTTGGCATAATTTTGTTGCTTCTGATATGCAATATTTCTACAGTATCTTTTTTTTTTTTTTTGAGACAGAGTCTCGCTCTGTCGCCCGGGCTAAAGTGAGTGCCGTGGCGTCAGCCTAGCTCACGGCAACCTCAAACTCCTGGGCTCAAGCAATCCTTCTGCCTCAGCCTCCCAAGTAGCTGGGACTACAGCTATGTGCCACCATGCCCAGCTAATTTATTCTACATATATTTTTAGTTGTCCAGATAATTTCTTTCTATTTTTAGTAGAGACGGGGGTCTCACTCTTGTTCAGGCTGCTCTCGAACTCCTGACCTCAAGCGATCCTCCCGCCTCGGCCTCCCAGAGTGCTAGGATTACAGGCGTGAGCCACCACGCCCGGCCTCTACAGCATCTTTGAACTTAGAAACAAGAAACAGGAAAAAAATTCTTATTCAAGGTCTCCTGAGACAGCAAAGCTAGTCACAGAATCATCTCTTTTTTTTCTAAACAAGAAGCTGAAATGACACTGGATATGTTAAGATTCAAGATACTTGGTTAAAAAATCTAAAGCAATTCTATGGAGCTTATGAATTATTAATGACAATATGAAAAGCTAGCTTCTGCACAAAGAGCTGAGTTATAGCCCAAGTGCATTTAATGATGAAAATACATAAGAAACCAACAAAATATTTCATGAAAACAAAGCAGTGTTGTTTCTGACGGATGAAAAACTCTGAATGGATACATAAAATGATGGATTAAAACTGGGATGAAAAGACTGTTGGAAGCAGGAGGGTGTATTTTTTCTTTAAAATATCTGAAGTGCTGCCAAGATAGATTTCACTAGGTGTTAGTCTGAATTCATCATAGCAGGCTAATTTCCTTGGGCAAAAGGATTGCAAGTAGTAGCAAAATGAAGATGAAATCCAAGTATAGATGCTTCTCAACTTATGATGGGTTATGTCCCAACAAACCTATATCACTAAGTTGAAAATATTGTAAGTTGAAAAATTCATTTAATGCCCCAATAAACCCACTGTAAAATCAAAAAATTGTAAGTTGAACTACTGTAAGTTGGGGATCATCTGTATTAAGGACTGTGACAAATACTTCATCTTGTCCCAAACACTGAATCAGCTGAAATAACATGGTGAGTACAATGTCAGGTATAATTGGATCACAGCTGTTCAGGCGGATACTTTTTTTTTTGCATAAGCTCCTTGACAGGAGAAGCCCTAGTGGTATAGACGTTTGCTCCTAAGATGGGAGTTACATGGGAGTTACATAATGGAACTACATAGGAAACAAGTCCAACATTCATGCTTCCAGAACAGTAACAGCCAATGTCATTTGCCAGGGCAGCCCTGGAGGTACCTGGAGGGCAACCCCAAGCTCCCATGTGACTCCAGAATTAAACAGTTTATTGTGACAATGGCGAGGGGGGAAGTGTTCTACATTTTCTGCAGAAGGATTTTA